AGTTATATATATATATATATATATATATATATTATTGTTTTTAATATGTATATATTGCATTCATTGTGGGGTAGAAAAATAATAAATAATTATAATTAATTCTATAAATTTTTATTTGCTCACTTTCAGTGTAATCCTATCCTATTGGTTAAAGGTTAAAATATTTTTTTATTTTTTAGTTTCATTTATCTTATATTTTAGTTTCTATAGCTTAAAATATATTCTTATAGTCATTACACTTATATTTTTCAATCTTTTTTGTTCTCTATAGTTTAAGATAAATTCCTTTGTAGTTTTTTTTAATTTTTTTAATCTTTATCTTTAATTTGTTATTTTTTTTTTTGTAATGTCTCTTTAATATTGACATGATAGATGTTACAAGTAAGGATACAAAAGAAATATAAAGTATGTTGAGAAACTTAATTTAAAGTTTTTTATCACGCCAATACAAAACAAATGTTACAAAAAAAAAAAAAATAGAGATTAAAAAGATAAAAAAAAATTGTGAGTATAGAAATTAAAAAGATTTATCTTAAACTATTGGGATTAAAAAAGATAAGTATAAAAACTCAAAAAAGTTTATTTTCAACTATAAAGAATAAAAGGTAAAAAAAAATTATAAAGAATAAAAAAAATGACCTTAATTAAATTATAACATAGTTTGGATAGGATTTTCTACTGAAATTTACAGAAAATCACATATTTATTTTATTAATTTTTCATAATTAAAAATTAGTTTAATCTTGTAATTATTATCAATCAAGTTCAATCTCATGTTGGAAAATATTGGTGTTACAATTGTGACATGAAGTGAAGACGACAAACTTTCGAAAAAAAATAAATAAATTGGGTCTCATGGCATGTCATGTGGAATGCAGTCTATTTTTTGTTTTGTTTTTTTTTTTTTAAAATAAAAGCCAAATGAAACTAGAAATTACTGCACAGTTTAGCAATTTTGTATCTACTGTAATTTTACTTTTTAGTAAAAGGTAGATTAAACACGTGTAAAAGTTGTCAATGTTGTCATTTACATTTTTTTTTCTCTTATGTTGTTGTGGGTTACTCTTGCTTACTGTTTTATTTTGTTGAAACTTTTGTTCTCTGAATATTCTCATTAGATGTTTTTTCTTTTGTATTTTTTTTATTTTAATTTTTTTTCTACTTCATTTGATTGTTAATTAGATTTTTTTTTTGAGAAAATACAATATATGTTAATATAACTATATGGAGTGCTAATTAATTTATTGAGTGTTTTGACAAATACAATATTTTTAAAATTTTTAATATAATTTATATCATTGAATTTTTCCTAAATAAATATTTATTTCTTTAAAAATGTTATTCAACAATATGTAATGATTTAAAAATCTTTAATTGATGTTATGCATTACTTATATTATTTGCAAATCAACATTAAAATAAAATTGTATTAAGTAATTTTTTACATTTAAATAGTTAAACTTTCAATATGTTGTTCTTCAATATTTTTATTTATTTATCTTATTATTAAAATCATTTTACAAACTATTTTTATTTTATAAATATACTCTTTTTTTTATTGAATGAGATAACTAATTTTCTTTAAAACTGAAGTCTTTTTTAAAATAAATATCAAATAACTTATAACTTAAAAAGAATTTTTAAGCTAAAAAAAATGAAATTTAAGGAACAAATACTTATTTTTTAAGTCAAATACTTATTTTTTTTAAGTTCTTACATTTTAGCTTTAGGTTAAAGGTTACTTTTAAGTGAAAAAAAAAAAATTGGACTAAACATTTAGTTAAAAAAAAATTAAAATAACCTTATTTACTATTTTGTTTCTAATTTACACCAGTTCAGATACATACTTGCACTATTCAATATTCAACCATTAGACTTATAAAATGCGGTAGCTGTTTCGAAAAGCTTTAGATACAATTGCATTTCTTTCATTTTCATCTCTATAACTAAATTAACAGCAAGATAAAGTGTTAATTTTAATTAAAAATAACAATAGCTGTAGTGCTAAATCAAAGTTATGTACCAATTATTTTTCTAGTGTGCTGGGTCATGATCACAACGCATAAAATGCAATGATGAAATCAACTTTAGTTTACTCCATGGCTACCTTATAAAGAGAAAATGATATGTATTTGTTTTGGAACTTAAAATTCTAATTTTTAAGTGAGAGTATAACATTAATGGTAAGTTATCCTAAAAAATAAGGCATAGATGATAAGTTTGATGTTTGTGTGCTTTGCAACTCTTTCAGCTGTTTTAATCATCAATACTCCCATGCTTGGAGAAATTATTAAGTGATCTTAAAACACATAATCTCAACCCTGCAAGGATAACACAATTAGCTAAGTTTCATTACTTTTATTAGCTAGGACTTGAAATCAAATTTCACTTTTCCATATTTAATATCCTTTTGTGCAGACTTGTAGTGGAAATGAGAGACAATTTGAAATCCCATTGAAAATCTTCAGAGATTGACAGTAAATTTTGATTTTACATGAAATCGTGTCTTAATCTAAATTTTTCATGACCAAAAAAAAATCACATGATTCATAACTAATCTTTATGTAACTAACATGTAATCAAGTTTCATTAATTGATTTCTCATAAGTTGAAAAACTTAAATACATAAAATATAGAGATGAATAGAACCAAAGACAATTAATAGTCTTAAAATACCTATAATTTCTCATAAGCAAGTGCATCTAAATACAGAGTTCACACACAGGCTACCAGTTATCATAGTCATTCCCATAGATGGTAAGTGCATAACAGAAAAATAGTGACGACAGCGAGAAAATTTTCTATTTTATGGTTTCTATAGGAAATAATATAATTTAAAATCAATAACTAATTCTATCGTACAACAAATTTGCAAAATTTGTAAACGAGTTTTGACACATTCGTGATAGCACTCATGACCTTAGCTAGTTATTGCCAACTATATTTGTCTACAAGCTTAAGACCCCAGCTCATATCCTCACAGTGCCTTACATGTGGAACAAGTGCACCAGTATCAATTCCTCTCTTAGCCTTACAATCATAGAAGGGAGGAGCATGGAAGCATGGCTCCGTCGACATGGCACGTTGACAAGGAGGATCAGGAGCTGTTCTATTCTCAGGTTTGTACAGTATCCACGGTTTCAAACCTCCGAGCCCCTGTGACACGTAGCCAAAAGTAGACCAAGAGCTTGTTACCAACTCATCGGTCAAGCTCAAGAGATACATTTCTGCCCAAGCTTTCTGGTTGTGCAACTGCTTCTCTGTTTGTTGATACCCTTCATGGCTTGGTTGGTAAATGCCAACAATTTCTCCTGTCACAGTTGGATATTCCCAATACATGTCTCTCACTTTTTCAAAATAACCAGAGCTCAAGGATGTCATCAGCACAGCTTTTGACTTTGGCTTTCCTGATGAATTAACAATATTTCCGGCCCGGTTAACATCAGACAAAAGATTCGCCTTCAAAGTACAAGCTAAGATTTGATCCAATACATGTTGAAATGGACCAGTTTCAGAGTCAAACACTCTTATCTGGATGCCTACTCTTTGATCAGCATTAGCTAAATAAGCTTGATAGTATCTGCTAACAAGTCCCCATACTTTGTTTGTGGGGTGGAACAAATACCTACCCAGGAAATGAAAAACTGTTTCCTTGTTTGGGAAGAGATTATTCAGTTCCTGCTCAAAAGATGGCATCAAGAATAGAGATGGGACAAAGTAATTATCTGTTTTCACCAATAACCATGGTACTTTCTGAAGAAAAGTTTGGTCTCCGTCACAGAAGAAAAGTTTGTCCTGATCATCGTAATCATGGACTAGATGAAGGTAGAGAAAAGATGGCACCACCATGGAGTCTGTGATTGATTTGTTTTTCAGCATTTTCCCATAACACTGATCAGATTTCTGACCCAAATTAGGAAATTGACTATTGAGAGGAAAATCAGGAGGGAGAAACCATGAAACATGTGGAAATGGTTCACAAAAAAGATCCACCATATCAACTCCAGGATCAACTAATAGAACGCGATCCGTGAGGAGAGCATACAGAAACGTGGAAGCTAAGGTCAATATCCTATTCCCTAACCCACTATACGAAATCCAGACCACATATTTACATGCTGAGGACTCACTTACATGACCAGACCTGAGATCTCTCACTGTTCTATTATATGATTCAGTATAAGGTCCACATTCTTTGTGAAGAGCTTCATATTTTCTCAATCTAGAAACAAGGTAAGAAGAAGGATTTCCTGATAGTCGTTTGCCATATGTAAGTGAATCATACCTGCTTCGACAAGATTTTTCATCAAATCCATCTGCTATAAGGCCACCAAGTAGCTTATCTTTTAACAACTCAACAGATTCAGATGTGTCACCTACAAGTCACAGAAGATGAATTCCATTATTAAATCACAATGTTCATTCATGTACCTAAGAGGAAGATCAAACATCTAAAAGAACTGGGAAAGGGAAAATTAGTTCATTACAACACCAACAAAAGTCTTGTCCCACTAGATGGGGGCAGGTACATAAATCACACAACCCCATTGAACTAGGCTAAAAACCAAATTCTCAGGAAAAATCAATCCACTTATCAACAAAAAAAAAAAAAAAAAAGAATTTGAGTTTTAACCTAACTCAACCCCAAAATCTAACTCCAAAGGTAAGGGTTGTCCACTACACTTGTATGCATTATTTTAGTCATGTCATTAGTCAATGTAATCTCCAACAATATCCCTTACTACGATGATTGAACATCCCGATCTAGAGCATGAAGTTTCCAGGACTGAACAAATTTATGTAATCCAACAATATCCCTTACTAGGATGATTGGACATCCCGATCTTGAACATGAAGTTTTCAGGACCAAACAAATTTATGCATTCTCCGACAATATCCCTTACTAGGATGATTGGACATCCTGATTTTGAGCATGAACTTTACACAACCGAACAAATTTACGTAATCCCCAACAAAACTCACTTCAATGATTGGACACCTGATCTTGAGCATGAAGCTTACATAACTGAAAAAATTTCATCATGTTCATTGGTTTATGCAACATATACATTAAATGAAACAAAACTAAGATACAAGATAAAAAAAAAACACAAAAATCCAACATTTATGTTCCTAGGCGTTACATTACGTCACATTACACAAGATAAAAACAAAGGTGACATAATTGTAGGATCCAAGTTTCATGAAGTGTGACGAAGCTAAAAGGGCAATTAAGAGCAAATGAATGGAATCATATTCATAACTAAAAAAGAAACCTTGGTGAGTTTGCTTGAGTTGGAGAAGAGATTTTGCAGTTTGAGATGATTGGATGTGAGGGTGAGGAAGAATGAAGGTGAGAGAGAAGAGAAAGAGAGAAAAGAGAAAGAGGGCCATTAGGCGCGTGAGGGGGAATCTCCGGTTGGAGCGCGTGTCGGAATCGGAATCGGAATCTGGGAGGGTTCCGTCGTCGTGACTCCTATTGCGCCAGTGCCTCTTCATGTGCACTGTCACTGTCACTGTCACTTCAATTTTCTTCCAACCAAACACGGTGCTGTAGAGTCGTTAAACCGCTACGGAGATCTCTTTAACAACACCACTCTTCATGCCACAAATTTTGACTCAACCCTTTACTCGTTTTCTGAAAATTTTATGTCATGGTTTCTTCTCTTTTTTTTTTTTTTTGGGTTTTTTTTTGTTTACATAATTTTTTTTTTTTTTTTTTTCTAGCCTGTGAAATGTGAATTACTTTTTTTTTTTTTTTTTGGTCTTTTTGTTGAATGTTAACTAATTTATTCTATTAGATTCTAAAATTAATTTAAGTGAAAAAGATATTATAAAATTAATTTGCGATTTGTTTATTTTAAGTAAATTAAGTTACTTATCAAAAAAATGTAATTAAATTAATTTTAGAATCTAATTAGAATATCCGGAATAAAGCTTACCCTTTGCATGTATAGAAGAAATTTAAATTAAGAATTAATTTTGTGTATTGATAAAATTAAGTGTTATATGTAAAGAAGAAATTTAAATTAATATTTTTCTACACCTAATCTCATATATTTATATTATGATTTTCGAATATCAAGATAAAATTATTTTTTCTTATTTTTTAAGGGTTTTTTATTCATTTTTATTGCTCACACATTTTAAAATTATTCTCGAATATACTAAGAAAACAAATTGATATATATATATATATATATATATATATATCAATTAATTATTCCTAATTTTAATTAAAAAAATTTAATCTTATCTTAACAATACTAAATCTAAAATAGTCTTTTATCTTATTTTTCTACCCAAACTCATACATTAAAATATATTTATGTTGTGATTAACAAATATCAAGACATTCAATTTTTTTCTTTCCATATTGATTGTGCACTCATTATAAGAACTCATTTTATTTATTACCTACATTCTAAAAATGTTCCTGCATATTTTATGATAAAAAAAATTGATAGATAGACTCTTTTACATACATATCAATCAAATATTCTTAATTCTAATTAGAAAAAATAAGAAATATATATTATTTGTACTCAATAAAGAAAATATAAATTATTTGAAAGAATAACATTAATAGTCTTACAATTTCGGATCATCTTAAGTTTTTATTTTTCTTACCATATTATATTTTATTAGTTATTATTATTTGAAAAATTGTTAATTTAAAAAAATTACTTCAATAATATTAAATTCAGGATAGTCTCTCATTTTTTTTCTTTTCCAATCTCATATATTAAAATATATTTACTTTGTGATTATCAAATATCAAAGCACATTCATTTTGTCATATTTATTGTCCACATATCTTAAAAACATTTTTAAATATATTACAATAACAAATTAATTGATAAAATCTTCTACTTACATATTAATTAACTATTACTAGCCTGGGAAAATAGGAAATACATATTATAAAGATTTTGATAAAAAAAAATACTATTACGAATATAAATACTTGTTAATAAATATAAATATTTTGTATTGCATTGACTAATACAATAAAAATTTTGATTCTCCCCATTTTATATATATTAGTAATTTGATAATTATTTAAATATTTAAGAGTAAATTACATTACTCTTCCGTGAGAGATAAGAGTATTATACTTTTCTCTCTTTTTATGTTAAATATACAATTTAATCAATTTAACTTAATGTAATTAATGTAAATTACAGCTCTTGTGAGAGATATAAGTATTACATTATCCATCCTGAATATGTTAAAATATAAAATAAACTACACTTGTATCTCTTAGAGTTTCAAGTGATATATTACTACTCTGTTATTATATTAACTTAATATCATTAAAGAATTATCATTATAAGATTTAAAAAGTATTTTTAATTTAATTATTTATAATAAAAAAATGATTCATTTAATTTAATTATTCATAAAAAATATATAATTTTAATTAAAAATATATTTGTTTTTGT